TCTCTCTCTCTCTCTCTCTCTCTCTCTCTCTCTGTCAGTTCGAAAGTTGAATATTCGAAGAATATATCCGGAAATCCGGGATATATTTCCGGGGAGGGCGTTTTCATCGCGTTCAATTTGTTCCGCGTTTATATTCGTTCATATTCCTTGGAAGGATAAGATAATCCCCTTGTCTTGTGCAAAATATTTATCAGAAATTGTGCGAGGAATGTACTTGATATTCGAGCGGAGCGATGCTGTTATTAAACGGACGTTTTTACACCGCACTCCGCCGCTCCTTTCCACTCCTCCCCCTCCCCCTCCCCGAGATAAACCTTGACGATGCTAATAAAAAGATAATAAATACTTGAGCGTAAAACTTGCCCGGGAGAAGAAAAAGTTCGCCTCTTCCTTCGGGAGGGGCTCGTCCAAGATGGCGAGGAACAAGGGATCCCTCTTGCTCGTTTCGTGCTTTGCAATTTTGCAAACAACCGTGTGGTCTATCTGTTAGATATATCGAACGTACGAGATCGATATCAAATATATCTATCCTTCCGATTCGAGAAACTGAATTATCGTATTCCATTGCAATGGCGAATCGAAGCAAGACGGAACGCTCGTCCTCCTTCTCAAAAAAAAAGATTAAATTATACATTTAAATATATATTATATTCCAACTCGTCGAACAAATTTTCCACGAGAGATCGATCCCTTAACATTATCTATTATCCGGCACAAGTTAAATAGACTTGTGCCCGATCCAGCCCCCCTCCTCCCCTGCCTAATCGATTCGGGTTTCGATTTAATCGTAAATTTACGCCTCGCCTTCCCACCGATCCTTCACGTTCGTTGGAACGCCTCGAAAAATCGAGATTTTTCCGCACGGATCGTCTCCTTTTAACCAAAAAATCGATCGATCGAACGAAATTACGACTCGCGACTCGTAAAGGCCCTCGCCTTTCCACCGATCCTTCTCGTTCTCATTCGCCTCGAAAAATCGAGATTTTTCCGTACGAATCGTCTCCTTTTAACCAAAAAATCGATCGATCGAACGAAATTACGACTCGCGACTCGTAAAGGCCCTCGCCTTTCCACCGATCCTTCTCGTTCGTGGAATCGCCTCGAAAAATCGAAATTTTTGCGCAGAGATCGTCCTTTCGTCCCTCTTGAACCAAAAAATCGATCGATCGAACGAAATTACGACTCGCGACTCGTAAATTATACGCGAAACACAATGCTGTCCGACTCCAAGTTCCGCGGCCATCGCGGTATACACAGCGGTGTGGAGGGAAGGGGCGGACAATCGGTCGAAATCGCAACAATTAACCGCGTTAATCACCACGCGGTTGAACCAGACTTTTCCCAGAAACGTTTGCAACCGGCGCCGGATGCCCGCCGATGGTGTTCCGCCGATATCGACGGAAGCGAAATTATTGACCCGGACCCACAAGCGGCTTTTTACATCTATTCTAAAACGGTGAATAGAAGGGGAGAGGAGTGTCGCGTTGAAATTTTCAAGTTTACGCGGTGAAACAAGAGCGTGCGGTCACGTCGATCGGTGAAAATCGTTCAAAACTGTACGCCACGGTTATCGTTCATTATTTTTATCGTCTATTTCTCTTTCCTTTCCCCTCGCGGTTGTTTCAATCGTTGTATATAGTTTCGGGCTGTCCGGCCCTCTTCTATTTTTTCCCTTCTCTTTTCCTCTCTTTTTATTCCACGTGCGTAACACGAATGTTTGCAAAAAAAAAAAGAAAAAAAGAGAAAAGAGAAAAGGAAAAAGAAAACAGAGATATTCCGATATCGAAAATCGTAAATATAACGCCGCGTAATTGAGAATGAATAAAACGAAGGGACAAAAAATTTGGCGAGAAAGAAGGAGGAGAGCTAAATAATTTTCAGAAATCAATTGGCTGCCCGTCGTAAGAACCGATATCCTCGTGGATACGAACCGATGAAAAAAAATAACGATGCCTCTTTTTCGCCCTGCGATTGTTAACCTGCTTTCGCGTACCATAACGTGCCACCGTATACACACACACACACACACACACATACACACACACACATATGCATTATAAACTATGGAGCAGGATGGAAATTGCTGGAAATTCGTCACTCGGTTGTTTAACCGTTTTACCCACGGCGTTAAGTAGAGGCGTGCCACTGATGGCGTTCCATCGAGGCGTTCGCCGGTTTTGCTAATGGGCCGGCTACATCAGACGCGCTTTGCACTTGCATCGTTCCCGCCATTTTAATATTTCACGGCCCATACCGCACGACACGGGAGCCGGGACGACTTGACGCAAAATCGACACTCCCCACGCTCGCGGTCCACGCGGTGCAGTGCACGGTTTTACATGGGCAAATTATTGGCAAGCTGGCGCGGCTTACCGTGCCGCGTCGATTACGCGGCAACATCGATAAAATTAACGATTACACGGCTGCACTTATCGGGCCTTATCCCGCTTTCCATTCCGGAAAAACAGCTCGCCCATTCGTGAATTCCTTCCATCCTGTTCGGGAAAACTGTTGTGAATTCGTGTTGGCAAATTATTTGCTTCGTGAACGAATCGCGGGAGTATTTGGGAAAGCAGACATCGAGTTGAGAACGGAGTAAAGTAACGAAGAATTTGCTACGAGAAAATGTTATTCGAGCATTTTTTAAATAAAATTCGAAACGCCAATTAAACGTTGATCGAGTTTTAAGTCTCGAAGAATTCAAGATACGAGGAGAAAAATATAATTCGAATTAAAAATTCTATAACTGTAATGTAGTTTCGTTTAATCTTGAGTATATATCACGATACGAAGAAATTTTACGTGTAATTTCTTTCTTTTTTTTTTTTTTTTACGCGATTTGAAGCCAATTCGACGCCTATTATCAACGCCCATTTTTTATTATTAATATTCAAAATGGACAAGTTACTATCCGGTATAATCCTGTTGCAAAAAGCGAGATAACAAGAAATAATGAAACAGGCACGGTAAAAAGCAGAATTTCGAATAGCAGGCTTTATTTACAATCGATATTTCACTCGTGTCGGCAGTGTTATTGGTAAGCACGCGAAGCACCGATAAAATAAGCATAAAAGTCGTCTCGATATTTAAATAAAAAAAAAAAAAGAAAAGAAAAGAAAAGAAAAGAAAAGAAAAGAAAAACCCAATACAACGAAGGAACGTCGAAATAAAGAAATCCAACAGCGATCCTTTAAACGCAGGCATTCCCCGTTTAATAGGCGTCGAGCAATCGGGCGAAATCGGTCCACGGGAGCGTAAGCGTTAATAAAACCGGTTGAACGGAAACAACCACACTTTGTACACCACCGATTTCCACTCGATCGTCCAACCTCTCGTGTAAATTTTTCCAGCCGTACGTGTTGTGTATCCAACGTAGATACAACGTAGCCGCCTGTTTCTGGGCCGGCTAAAAATGTTTCGATTCTTTTCGCTTCGTTTCGCCATTGGAATATGGTGGAAGAAGGGATTGGCGAAGAGGTGGGTGGCGTCGCGATGACGCCGCGAGACGGCACGAGAAGAATGGCAGTATTCGAGAAATGGGAGGGGAAGAAGCATCCCGCTTCGTCGTTTGACCGTAAAGCTGGAATCGAAGAATGCGCCACTCCATCAGCAGTAAACTTTTGCGTACTTTCCAACACTGGAAATAGCTCGGTACCACTCGGTACATCTAGCACCGATCCCTTGTGTGCGCCTTGCTGCACAACTTACAGTCCTATCCTTCCCCTCGCGACCGCTATTATCACTCTGTTGATTTAAACGTGTATACGTGTGTGTGTGCGTGTGGATAAAAGTGAACGCGTACGTGGTGTATGTGTGTAAGTAAAGAATAAACGTGTGTTTGAAAGGGTAGAAAGATCGAACGTGATGGCACGGAGGGGAAAGGGGAAAAGAACGAAGTGACGGAGAGGAAGGTATATAGGATATATCGATAATCGATTTTCACGAAATCGAGCGACAGATACGATACTGCTTTATACTACTTTAATGTGTATGTATATATATTATTTATATTTATATATTATTCAATCGTCTAATTTATCGTTGCACATCCACACGCGTTTCACGCGTCTCTTTCTTTCCTCTCCTCGAGGTATATCGCGACGAATCTTACAGCGCGAATCAACTTTCATTCGACTTTCGTTTAATAGGGTGAATTTTATTCGTGTTTTTTTTTCTTCTTTTTCTTATTCCTCGTTTCGTGCTCTCTCCGCTCCTGCTTACTCCTCCTCCCTCTCCCCCTCAGCCTTCGAGTTAAAAACCTGTTTGCGAATTTCTCGAGTCCCGAGTTAGTTCTAAAAGGGTGTACCTTTTTAACTCCCTTCGTCCCCGGTAAGAAGGAACAAAAATACACTTGAAAGGGAGACGGGGGATCGTGAAAATTTCTTCTCGGAAGAAAACTATAAGAAACGTCATCCGCGAGGAGGAAGAACAGAGGAGTAAAAGAAAAATCAAACTGCCCTCCAGCCAAGATGACGCATCAAGTTATTGTCATTCGTTATTTTTAAAACGAAACGGAATTATGCGCCTCCTTCGATCCGATACGATCGCGTTAATCGATCACCATCACCTCTCGCGTATTCTCGCAAGTGTTTCTCCTCTTTTCCAGCGAGGAAAACAGGGGAAATTCAATTGGCGGAATCCACGTAGAGTGTAGAGTAGTCGCGGCGGGATGAAAGCGACTCGGAGCACACGGTTGCATAAGTAATGCGCGTCGTTTGCGGATCGTGATGCAAACTGATGGCGCACCGATATATCCCTCGTATCAAGAGCTCGCAGCTCCTCCGCCCGCGAAATGACTCCACTTCTCCAAGATGATCCCTCCCCCCTTCTCCTTCCTCCCCCTCTGTGGATTTCGTGAGAATGAAATGGCGATGCATCGATCGTTTCTTCTTCTTCTTCTTCTTCTTCTTCTTCCTCGCGTTTATAATATTTTCTATTTTTCGCTCGTTCCGTTCCACAAATTTATAAATGTTGATGATAAAGTTTCGAAATAACGATATCGAAAGACAATTTTCAAAATTCTCGTGGATTTAATTCGACGAACGTTCCTTTGATACGGCGATCAAAGGAAAGGAAAGTTGCGTTCTCCGTCCTCGAATTACAACCAGGAAAACAGACGCGAGGCGAAGAACGTTCTTTCGTCGTCCTCCCCTCCCCCGACAATTGCGTCGGAAAAAACGTTTCGACCGATCCAATCTTCATCCGCGAGATCGATTCGATTCGAAGCGATGCAATAACGCATCGAAAGGAACACGATAAAAATATGAGAGAAGGGAAGGGGAAGTATCGAAGCGAGAAACAATTGTTCCGCGTATAATCCTCGATACACCGTAAATTTCGTCCCGCGCTAGTCCATATAGCCCTCGTTGTTGCACGATCGAACGGCCGACATAATAACAGCGGGACGGTGGCCGTAAATTTAGCATCCTGGGATAGCCAAGCGTCGGTTAAACCTCTATTGGTATTCTCTCCAGAAATGGCAACCCCTCTTATATACGTACAATCTGATTCCGCTTCCACTCTCCTGAGATTCGTATTTTCGCCGGTTAATCAGAGCCGGCCTGGGATTAGCCGTGTCCTTTTCCTGGGAAAAGGAAAATTTGTCGAGAGAGAGGCGATCGAAGCGGAACGGTAAATCGTGAAAGGGGGATAAACGGCGCGCGAATCAATTTGTAAACCGACGAAAATGCCAATGCCAATCCCACCTCGTGTCGCGCAATCAATCTCGATTCCGCGGATTGATTAAACATCGATCGTGCAAAGTTTTTCTTCCCCCCGTTTCCTATTAAATATTCGACGAATGGGGAATCGAAAATCGAAATAGATGGTGTTTCGTACGCGTTCGAAGAAGCGCTCTTGCGGAGGCCGGGTTTCTTGCGCCGAGGAAACTTCGCGCGAGTCTCTCGTCGCCTCCTCTCCCCTCCTCCCTCTCTCCTCTTTGTTCGCGAGACGACGATTGTCGTTTGATTTCGTGTCCCGGGGGAGAGGATCGATCGATCGAGGCGGGGAAAGAAGACGAAATTTCGCTTCGACCGCTTTCGCCTAACGAAAAAAATTTGTCGTCGTTTAAGGGTTGGATCGTATCGTTGGAAAATGGACAGGTATTTCGAAACATCGGGGAATGTATCGATGTGGATCGAGAGATACGGAACAATACGAATTCGTTACGAAAATGGACAATTTTCCGCTTTTGGAATTCCATTGTAACATCGCAAAGCAATTAATTAAATGCGAATCATTTCACTGTAAATACACCATGTTGTTTCAACTTCCCGTATGTATGTGTACATACATACATACATACATATACACGCGCGTGCATTTCGATAATATGAAATTTTTATCCCGGCTACGAAAAAAGTTCGCTGGAACAAATATATTTTCCGATACGCGATTTGTTGAAAATTTTCCATTTATTTCCCCCCCCCCCTTCCTCTTTTTTTTCATTTCGAACTCCTTGGAAATCGATCGATCGGAATCGGACGGACGATCCTCGCGATTGGAAACGGATAAATCAGAGGAGACGGATCTCTGGTTCGGACGAGAGATTTTCGATGAGATCGAGTGAATGGTAAGCGGAGGGGATGGATTGGATACTGGAGACGCCGCGTAGAAATGGCAAAGTGATCGTCTTTGGAGGAGTTTGGACCCGCTCGGCCAGATAATGCCGCGTCGTGTCGCCACGGTTAGAGAATCCCTCGGCCAAGTTCTTGCTCGTTCCGCCGCCAGGAGCCCTCTTTCGCCTTCCCCCTCCACGAATTCCCAAAATTGGTGGCATTACTGCGGACAAAGACACGCGGCCGACTTGGAAGTTTCCATCTCCGGAGAGAATCGGAATCCAGGTGAAACGATCATCTTTTTCAATTAACGATCTCGAGGATTCGTGTTTCTTATATAAGAGGTAATTCATCACGATTCATTTTGCTATTGAACTATTATTATTATTAGTCGTCACCTGTGGCAAAGAAATAATTTTTAACATTTGAAGTCGTTCGTGAATATTTCCATCTCTGATAGAACACTTTTTGAAAATAATTCTAAGAGGTGAACGT